CCGCTCCGAACTTCCTCGGTCCATAACATATATATGGCCAGCATGGATCGTTCTGCCGGGTAGACTATGTTAACGAACATGTCCCCTGCAACTAAAGCAATTGGCTTGCCAGGTCACCAGGCCGGTCCCAATTGGCCGCGAAATGCAGAGAGTCTACGAATGGTTGGACCGGCCGATTGTGATAGTCAACTACATGTACATACAGTTCAATTCTATACGAAATGAGAATGATACTTCTCACACCCCTGGAATGGTCCTTCGCCTTCTACAAACGCTTGTAATGGCAAGTGACTTACACACTTGCTAGAGTGAATTGGATACAGGCTACACGCAGTTGAAACTGTCCAATAAGAAGGTTGGTAGTTGATAGAGCTACATTGGTAGAAACTCAGGTCGATATCTCATCGACCCTTTTGAATGTCACATAAACGGTAGACACCCAAACCATTACTTCCTTCATCATGTTGTGAGGTATGATCTGCGATACCACAGAGTTGGAGGTTCATCTCTGCTGCTAGGCAAAACATCATATATATAGGATTTGTCGACAGCGGCGAATGCGAACTATAACATAATAGTATTAGTGCTGAACAGTGCCTGGGATGACAGGTAACCAACTCACAATGAAACCTGTTTTTGCCGGTTGAAGCCGGATCTTTGCTATCTTGAACGAGATGTAGACTTTGGAGGCAGTCTCCAGTCCCAATTGGCAGGCCTAGATTTTGTCAACTTGGACGGTAACGCCCCAGCCTAATTGGACACAGGCAGTGGTGAGCTCGGGATGCTCAAGGGTCTTGCGGCTATGACACGATGCTATTAGGTTATGCGACAAAGAGGTTGATATTGAAGTGTCTAGTGTGGCGGCTGAGTGCAGATGCGAAACGACCTACCTACTGTGGACCTAGTGACGGCTGATGGTCTGCACTTTTGGAAGGTAACTTTGTCTACCTAAACTCCTCGATATGGAATTTCAGATTCGGTGACGGACAAATGATCGGTTCTTTCTTACACGTTGAGGAATTCGTTGATTTAGAAATTTGGACACCTTGAAACCTAGTTCGCCAGTGTTCTTGGCATGCCTAGCAATGACAACGAATGAGGTATCTAGCCTGGTAGATACCACCAACCAGATCAATGTGCCGATCTTGGTCTGAAACTCCTTGATCTCTGCTTTGGTAGCAGTGCCATACGATGTAGGCCTTTCAACTAAAGCCTGCTTCTCGTCTATTAGGGTGGCAACTGCCTTGCAGTTTTCAAGACCGAACCGAGCGAGGATCTTGTCAACATCAGCCGCATGACTGGCTCCTCTAGCCTGTCATGGTCCCTGTCCCCAAACTGTGCAGCTGAAACCCCAAATATATGGAAAGTGATTTTATACAGCTCGAATAATAACCGTGTCAACCTGTAGTGGGCATTGCAAAGCTGCCTTTGGCAGGTGCAATCACCTTGCTCCCTACTCCACAACAAGGACCAGCACTGTCGCGACCGGAACGGGCGGATTCTTGTTGCACAGTAGAGATCTCCTTGTTTTTGACCTTTGCCTTGTTAAGAGGAAACATCTAGGCATGGATATATCGAAGAATCCGGTCGTCATAGATAGGGAAGAGGCTCAATGAGCTTGCCTTGGAAGATTTCCAACCGAGCTGCCACCAGCATATGGGGATTGTCCTGGACGTTTGAGCAACCTGACACTGAATCGCTGTGCTACCCTGAAGCTGCTCTTCATATTGCGGTAGTTGTCGCATTATATCCTTAACTGTGCAAGTCCGCCGCGAACGTCCTCAGAACCAGGTGGATGTGCTGAGGTTCTTCACGTAAGATTTGCGATCCTGATGGCGAGCCGCAAAGGATGTACGGGTGCCCGGAGAGTGTTCGACAAATACGTTATCGAGCTAAGTAGACTTAACTTCATCGTGGGTCTCAAAGACTGACCGATGGCCATGCGTAGAGACGAGTCGGTATAGTTCTTCAGAAGAAGGAAGACAAAAGAGAGAAGTAGGAAGAAGACGCTAGAGACGAAAGAAAGCAAGAATTATATACGGCTGAATTCAAAATCTCAGATCTCAGACGTTCACTAAACAAAGAACGCAGCACTATCTCAGGCTTTGTCTCCAAAATGGAATAAGTGAGTCTCCGATCATTCGATAGATAGGGGAATACTTTGTACCGCTAACGGAAAGAAACTACAACATACGTATTCGTATCTGTCATATTAACTTTAGGGCCTTCTCCAGGATCTGACATATGGATGGAACTATGAAAGCTTCAAACACTAGCCCAGAAGCAGGTGATTCTCAAAGGGCAAAGGGGGAGAGTGGCAGTGCCAGGTCTTGGCACATCCCTTGGCGCACCTAAAAATATGTTAGCGCCAAGAACCAATTTGGCGCTCATGACACTCCGCGCCAGCGGAAACGACTTGGCATATTGCCCTCTTTCTTGATGAAATGACATTCAGAGACCCTTTTCCAAGCCGAATACGTCGGGAGACTTCCATATTTTCTCCCGTCAAGAGACTTTGAAAAGATATTCGAGCGCAGAGTTTATGCGTCCCCTAAGCGCCTACCCCGGGTACACCGGGTAAGGGGGTCTCTTGGCATTACTACACTCTCATTTCCCAAAGGAAAACTCAACGCCAAGCACCAGAAAACTGGGCAGTGCTGAGAAGAGCTGCACCCAGAACAAAGGCAGGCAGCAGGATTGGCTATGCCAATGTCTTGGAATATCACCATGTACATAGTCCCGCTCATACGGCGCCTCGGTGCCAAGTGACTGGTTTCATCGTGATGATTCGATATAACCTGATGGGTTCCATTGTCTTATTGCCTTTTTGTCCCAGGAGATGCGCACTCATATTATCCTCCTAATCCCAATGCACTTAACTTCTGCTCTTCATATCTCAGTCCCATGCATTTCTTCCGATGTCGGTCACCGCTCGGCTCGTGTCAAATGAGGTCTGTTATTATATCTAGGTGGTTGGCCACCCTTTTGGCCGGCCTTCTCATACAAAATGCCCTCGCAATTGAGGTTAACCCCGAGGATGAGAGTGGGTTTGTTTCAAACGCTGGCTAAGCAACTCAAATGACTGACATGGTACCTCTCTCGACAGCCTCCCTCAAAAATGCCGCCAAGACCGTTGCCACCACCATGATGGATTTCTACAATGCCCGCGACTCGAAAGATATTCCAGGGAAAATGGATGATACCTGGTGGGAAGGTGGTTCGATGTTCATGACTCTCATCCAGTACTGGTATTTAACAGGCGACAGCCAGTTCAACGATGCCATCCAGGAAGGCATGTACTGGCAAAAGGGCGAAAACGACTTCTTTCCAAGCAACTACTCCCAATACTTGGGTAACGACGATCAGGTTTTCTGGGGTTTAGCTGCGATAACCGCCGGAGAATTGAACTTCCCAGAAAGAGAAAACGAGGCCTCGTGGGTTTCTCTGGCCGAGGGTGTCTTCAATGGACAGATTCCCCGCTGGGATATGAACAATTGCGGTGGAGGTTTGCGATGGCAGATCTGGCCTTACCAGGACGGATATAATTTGAAAAACGCCATCTCCAACGGCGGATTGTTCCAGCTGTCAGCGCGTCTGGCACTATATACCAAGAATGCGACCTATGCGGAGTGGGCCGAGAAGATTTGGGATTGGAGTGCATCTACGCCGCTGTTGAGGAAAACTTGGGTTATCGCCGATACCACTACTAATGCTGCGAGTTGTAAGGACCATGGTGATCACCAGTGGACTTACAATTACGCAACATATATTTCCGGTGCGGGCTACATGCACAACTACGTACGTCTATCCCCCCGTCCCCAGCAAATTGACTATTCCAACTAACTGGTTATATAGACCAATGGCACCGAAAGCAAATGGCTCGAAGGTGTGACAGGACTGATCAAGACATCTGATCAATTTTTCCCTGCCTCCGGGGGGAACCAAATCATATCCGACATCACCTGCGAGCCCATCAATAAGTGTGATCGCAACCAGAAAACCTTTAAGGCGTATTTCACTGGCTGGCTCGGATTCATATCCCTGATCGTACCGGCCAATGTCACGGCGGAGGTAATGGGGAAATTCAAGGCCTCCGCTGTTGCCGCTGGGCAACAATGTTCCGGCGGAAGCGATGGGAAGCATTGTGGAATTCGCTGGACGAAGAAAGCAGAATGGGATGGAACTATGGGCTTGGAACAGCAGATGTCTGTGCTGGGTGTTCTTAATGCTGCCATGGTCCCATTCAAGGCTCAGGGCCCTTACAATGCTGACAATGGTGGCACATCCCGAAGTGACCCACACGGGGGCAGTAATACCAAGGATATCGTGGGACCTGGACCTATCACTACAGGTGATAGAGTTGGCGCGGGAATCTTGACTGCGATCTTCGTTATACTCTGGGTCGGGGGTATAACTTTCATGCTTGCTGGAAGCACGTAGATGCACTCAAATTTGAAGGCGTTAAATACATGTACATTTGGAATATTGGTACCCTGAGGAACCCAGGCGTTTTTGTGTTATTTTCTGATACGAAAAACTTATTAACAATTATACCCTCGTCTTCTTTTCTCGATGCGGAATAGCTGTGCGGGTCAAACTATGAGCTCACCCTATAGCAATAATTAAGAAGAGGGAGAGTTGGTAGATCTAGATGTCATCGGTGATTAGAAAACTATTGCTACATACAGGAGACGGCACTATCGCGTCTCTAAGATTCGAGCGTTGAGAAGAAATCTTTGTACAATGTCCCTGAGACGTTGATGTTGACTGGTTCTGCGCGACAATCATGTGGGGGTAACGCGTGGAAAAGATAATGATTATCTCGCAGCGACAAACTATGGAAGGAGAGAATGTATCTAGCAGCGAAGGATATCCTGGACAAACAGGAGGGCAGGTATGCTTCTGACAACCACACCTCTAACATCATGTCGCGGTAAAAGCCTTCCTTAACATGTGCAGTGCGGATTCTTTTTTTTTTTCTTTTCTTTTTGTTTGTCCTCTCAGGCCTCCTCATCTTCTGTGATCTCGAGGTCCTCGTCATCTTTAAGAGCCGCATCACTCTTCCGAGCTGCCTCTCTGGCGCTCACAAGTTTAGCGACATGATCTTTGGAACGTAGAAACCGCAGATACGCAGCATTGGCGGAGATGCCATAGTGCTGACCGACAGCGGCGTAATTGATCTAGGATATGATAGTGATATTAGTGCTGAAAACTAGCTGATGGATTAGTGAGAGACCAGTAACCTTGATTCCTGTCTCCTTGAGACAGGTAAGTAAGAACTCAAGCCTCTCTTCCATTATATCACGGCCAATTTCCGGGGCGCCCTTAGCACGCTTGGGGGAAGGCTTAGCAACAGCCTTCTTGGTAGCCTTAGCCTTGCTAACTTTGTTGGAAGCCATGGTGAAGATGGATGACTAGTTGATGATATGAGTTTGATGTAAATGTAAACGCGGAGAGAAAGTGCTCTCTAGAGATACTTTGCTTAGATTAAGGAACCTGAGGAGAGAGAAGAGGGAAGAACAAACGAAATTCGAGGATCGAATTTAGATGCTGATCTAATAGCAAAAAACTTTGGCGTCTGCTTCCTGGCACTTCGGACGATATTTTGTGAGGCACGACCTTAGATCTTAAATACGAAGTACCTTCATTCTTCAGGAATGCCTGGAGAGATTCTCTAGTTCTGCTTATCACAGACTTGGTAAGAGGAGAATCATTTACCGCAATCTTCACGAGAGGCCACTAATAAACTACTGACCTATAGCAGGTGTTTCATTGATCGCTTTACAAATAACTACCTTCACAAGTGGAATAACCCGGTTGTGCTAGAATTACATGAATTCCACCCTGGATTTCTCCTTCTGGGGTTTAACGTTCAAACACTGTCGCTATATCTTCAATACCCTTTTCAAACGCCGACCCGACCCACGTTTTGCCGAGCCTCACAACCACCGTCAAAGACATGGCCTGGTTTTGTACCTAAGATGTCAATAGATAGGCTGGTCGGACTCGATTGTTTCTGGTCGTGACAATTCATAGCGGAGTTATAAGGATATTTTGGGTTATTGGCATTAAACGGAATAAACAGTGGAACATTGACTCTTTTCGGCCAGGCGTCAATTTCCAGGATGGGTAATGGTAATCCATAGTGGAGTCAATGCCGACCGTATGGCCCGAGGACTGCGCCTAAAAGGAGCTGAGACATGCGGTGATTTGCGGGGAAACCTACGAGACAAAACGCATCTAAGCTAAGACGGAATAATTAGATCCGTATAGGTAACTTTGGAAGTATATATTTCTTCGCTAACCCTGTAACTCCCCTCTATCCTTCTCCCGCCTTTCCCAATCCCATCATGGTTCGCTGTCTTCCTTTCTTTATCCCCCTGGCAGCTGCCACGAACCTATATGCCACTCACTATGACGGTAACATCTACTCACTCTCTCTTGATAGCGGAAACTCGCTTTCGGTCACTTCATCTTTGAAATCATGTGGTGATGGCCCTAGCTGGCTTACGTTCGATTCGTCAACGCGTACCATGTATTGCTCCGACCATGCGGGAAATGCGAGCATGAATGGCTTGTTGAGCTCCTACTCCGTGAATCGGAATGGAAGGCTGACAGAGCTCGCAAATACCGTGGATGTGGGCGCCGCAGTCCATAGTGTTATCTATGGTGGCAAGCACGGACGCGAAAAGTACTTGGCTGTTGCGCATTAGTGAGTAATTGATGTCTAAGTCAGCTAGGTACAAACAAACTGACATTCACCAGCGGCGGTTCCGCCCTTTCGACCTTTAATTTACCCCTTAGGTCCGACAAGAACCCCTTAGAGGTCTTCCGCTACACAATGTCCCAGCCCGGTATCAAACCTCAGCAGGATTCGCCGCACCCGCATCAGGTGATCCTCGATCCAACCGGTGATTTTATCCTTGTTCCAGATCTAGGAGCCGACCAAGTCCGCGTGTACGCCATCAACCAGCAATCAGGACACCTAAATGTGTGCCCTAGTCTTAATTACACCGCTGGCAGTGGACCGCGACACGGGCTGTTCTGGAAATCCAATCCCTCGGACTCAAGGTACGCCCCAGTGACTATGCTGTACACCGTCAGTGAATTGGGCGGTCACTTCAATGCGTTTGCTGTCTCTTACTTATCCTCCGGTTGTCTTGCGTTCAAGCAGACTCAATCCTTTGTGCCATACCCAGGTGGAAAGTTACCGGCTGCGGGTGCGCCAGCAGAGCTCCGTATGACTGGGGATTCTCTTTACGCTTCGATTCGCTTTGATCAAGGATTCGCCCCGAATGATTCCATATCGACTATGGTTCGTTCCTCCAATGGCACGGTGTCTTTCAGCCAGATCACCTCTGCATATGGCACCATTCCCCGCACTTTTGTCATCAATAAGCAGGGTACTCTAGTGGCCATTGGGGACCAGGCTTCATCTAATGTTGCCATTGTCAAAAGGGACCCGCGGAGTGGAACCCTCGGCAATCTAGTCGCCAACTTGCAGGTTGGACAGCCCGGCCAGGCTAGTAACTCGTCGTCGGGCTTGAGCAGCATCATCTGGGAAGAGTAGGCTCTCCAACTCAACTGGACTCTTCAAGGAACACCAACATTATCCAGGGAGCTGTCAAGGTCGCCTCTTCCGAGCCAGGAACATTTTTGTCTATACTTGGAGCGATGATTATATATAGAGAGCAAGATAAGATGTACATAGAATGCGCCAAAAATGCAAGACATGGTTGTCATGAGAATTTCTTAACATACCACTGACAGATGTATAATTGTTAGAATCCAATCGTGCCCGGCAAAAAAAAAAGAAAGAAAGATAATGTACGGAACCCTCACGTAACAACCCCATACATTCGCCAAGAGTCGATTGGTGTTGCTAGTATGATTAGTAAAAAAAAATTAGTAACCGTCGCGGGGAAGGGAATAGATGAATTACCGATATGTTGACTAGAAAGTACGTGCATACCTAGGTAGACCGACCTCGGGAATTGAATTCTCCCAACCCCACAAAGTATCTGGCTATGGACTTTATATGGTATCAACCTTTGAATTTAGCATAAGTTAGTGATATGTGCTTTCATGCCGTCGAGCTCATCTGCTAGTTTTCAGTGGCTCGCCAACCGGATATAAAACGGCTTTAGTATTAGACTACCGGTGGCTGACCGGCTATCTCCATTTTTCACACTACAAAAGATGTCATCAATTGCAGAAAATACAGTATGTATATAATAGGGCTCAAGTAGCTTGAGGTTCCACGATTGCCAATTTACCCGCCCCACCGGGGGCTGGTTATAGTTGTAGCATCCGACCAATGAGATACGACTTGTCATCATGGTGCAGGAGGTGACCGTGGGACACCGTCCTTGTCGCATCATGACTGCGATGTGGTACCGATCGGCAATATAAATAAGCCTGAGGTTCGTCATCGGATGAACCTCCAATTTTCACCTTCTCGGTACCTAAGCTCACGAAACCAATATGACAAAGACACTCTCGCTTGGCGGACAGCAGGTCCCCGTCCCCGGCTTTGGTGCCATGGGCCTTAATTCTGCCATGGGGTCAGACCTCAATCTTGAACAGTCTGAGCCTGTTCTTTTGAAAGCTATTGAGCTCGGCTGCACATTCTGGGATACCGCAGTAAGCCCTTCTCTTCGAATTGCCCCTAGTGCGATAGTTTTTAACTTTCACCCACCCTAGGTTGCCTACAAAAATGGTGAAAATGAGAAACTTCTTGGAGACTTCATTAAAAAGCACAACGTTCGCGACAAGATTTTCGGTGAGCAATTTGTCTTTTGTCTTTCTACATTGTGTCATTAGCTCATATCTCGCAGTGGCCTCCAAGTGTGGATTTGAAGTCTTTGGGCCTGAACGAAAAGTAACCAACTCGGCCGCCCACATCAAAGAATACATCGAGGGAACAATCGACAGACTTGGTTTCACTCCCGATCTCTACTATCTCCACAGAATCGACCCCAGTATGTGACATGCACCGAAAACAATTTGATTCAAATCGGTATACTAACTCTGCAACTCAAGACACCCCCCTAGAGGAGTCTATCGGTGCCCTGGATGAACTCCGACGCGCCGGAAAAACAAAGTACATTGGCCTATCCGAATGTTCTGCTGAGACCTTGCGCAAAGCAAACGCGAGTAAGTTTATGTGTAACTACAGATCACAAGAGTGCATGCTAACATAATTTAGTCGCCAAAATCGATGCCGTTCAAGCCGAGTACTCTGCTTTTGAGACATTGCACGAGACTAGTGGGCTTATTGATACGGCAAAGGAATTGAATGTGGCCTTTGTGGCGTTCAGCCCTCTGGGACATGGCTGGCTTGTGGATGACTTCCCGTTCAAGACTCCTGATGACTTCGCCCCCAATGACTTCCGACGCACTGGTACGTCACGCCCTTTTGATTTTGCAAAAATTCTGCTGGATTCGGGTAAACTAACTTTGACAAATCTCAGTTCCCAAGTTCCAAGGTGAAAACTTCTACAAGAACAAGGCTATTGTTGACGAAATTAAGAAGTTAGCCACCAAAAAGGGTTGCTCGATTGCACAGATCGCCCTGGCTTGGGTTGCTGCGCAAGGCTTGATTACTATCCCAGGAACGACCAAAGCTTCGCGCTTGGAAGAAAATTGGACATCTCGTGAGGTCGAATTGACAGAAGAAGAGTTGAAGGAGATGCGAGCGATTGTGGAGGCTGCCAAGCCGGTTGGAGAGAGATTCTCTGCCATCTTCCAATCAATGGTTGGCCACTAGAGTCTGTAGCAACTTAATTAGGTTTTTTTTAAAAAAAAAAAGATTTATGGAAAATCGCTAAAAAATTATCAAATAGGGTTGAAATTCCCTTTTAGGTCACACACTGTTACGGCACCGGCAACAGCTAAGAGGTGTTCGGATATAGACCAACCAAAACAACCAAATAATGGCACTAGTTGACTAGCCATCCGTCAGGACAGAAATAGCTAGTTGTGCATTGTGCAAGGTACACCTCATATTCTAGCCGTTTGTTTCTGCTTACCTTCAAAAGTTCTTAACCCCGGAAGGAGAAGTGGAGAAAACATCATCGGGAGTGTCAGCATGTTGACCTTAAGGCCGCTAGCCCCGAAAGGTTAACATACATGTTAAGTCTTTAAAATTAGAATTAGTCAATAGACCCCCGTTTATAGACATGAATTTCTAGCTGCCATTGACAATCCATTCAAAATGTTACGAGCCCTAGCACTACAGCACTTAGTGTGGCTTTCTATCCTCTTCCAACTCTCTCTCGCCCTCCCGTGGCACACCAACTATGCCCTTACTGTGATCAAAAACGTGACCCAGCCACAAACCTTTGAAAATATTGCAACCAGACACAATGGCCAGCTTCTTTTGACCTCAACCGTCTCCCCCAAAGTCTATCAGGTTGACCCATTTCGTCAGCGCGCCATGAAAGCCATCGTTGATATCCCTCATACGGCTGGATTGTTTGGTATTGCAGAATTGGAAGAGGATATCTTTTATGTGATAAGCGCAAATATGACCGGCGTTCAAGGTATCCCTAACTCCAATTTTGTCTGGAAGTTTGACGTGCGTGACCGCCGGACGGAAAGGGCACCAATTTCACCATCAATCGTGGCCAATGTATCCGATGCACAATTGATGAATGGAATGTCTCGCTTGGCAGGCAATGACACAACGTCACTCTTGATTAGCGATTCACAGGCTGGGAGAATATACAAATTGGACGTGAGCACCGGCTCACACCGAACAATCAGCGATGACGACTCCCTCAAGTCCTCCCCCACAGGCTTACAAATTGGCGTGAATGGAATTCATGTGCGAGGTTCACACTTGTTCTTCACCAACTTCAATAAGCGCATATTTGGTCGGATCCCTATCTCCCTGTCCACTGGATTCCCCACTGGCCCTGTGGAGGTTATTGTCAATGGTGTCCAAGGCGATGATTTTGCCGTTTCTGCAGATGGGAAAACTGCATGGATTGCTTTGAACTCTCAAAGCACTCTACTCGAAGTCGATATTTCTGGAAAAAGCGCGCGGGTTGTTGTCGAGTCGCCGTATTTGGAATCAGCATCTTCTGTGTCGGTAGGTCGAACTCTGTTCGATCGGGATAGTCTTTACGTTTCCTCTGCAGGGCCGTTCAATGCGGTTTCTGGTACTAATACTACGATAACTGGTGGTATTGTCGCTCGGGTAGATCTTCCAAAGGTTAAATGATTTGGTCCTGCCGAGTGAGTTGATTGGTTCCAGCTGAAGGAATATGAAGTCAAATATCCAAATTCTATGGATCTTTTTACTACCGTAGCAAATAATATTGAAGCGAGCTTGAAACGAGCCTGGTTGGCTGCCCAATAGAATACGAACGATTGACAGCCAAAGGAAAAGGGGCTTGACAGTCACTTTGGGATATAGGTACATAAGATAATATACACATATACATCACAGCATCCTTCAAACAGACGCAAAAATCTCCTATGAACCCATTACAGGGGGGCTGGGTCACTGACACCATCATAAGCCCAGCGACAAACATGATCATACATGTTACCCAGCGCCAAGCTGATTGTCTCATTGTTGAAAACAGTACGAGCCAAGGTCTTCTCGGACGCGTTGTACTGAGGCCAGAAAGCATCAAGACCGTGCTGGGGGTTCTTGGCAAAGCTGGACCAGACCTCACGGAGATAGTTTCCAACAGCGACTTCAGCTGGAGTACTAGCGAGCAAGGTTTGGTTAACGTTGTCAAACAACGGATAGAGATCAGCAGTGTGGTAGGCACCGCTCGGTGGCGTAGTAAGGATTAAGTTGGGGGAGTCGCCGAAGTAGCGGCATCTCCAGGTTGTGTTGCCATCAGCGATACTTTGCTCAATTCTCACGACGTCAGCGCATGTGTACAGACGGTCGTTGAAGTCAGTCCAGTAGCTCTGGTTATGCACTTGTCCAAGTTTAAAGATACCTGCCTCATTTTGAGCGTCACCAATCAGGTAGCCATTGTAACTATTGTCCTGTTTTTTTATATTCCATGACTCCGATCCCTACATTACTAAGGCAGCTAGACATCAGACGGGGGAATTCCATGATTGGCAGGTAAATTTAGAAATTCTCCAATAGAAAACACAGATATGAAAGGATTTCGAAAGGCTTTATTTACCCTGCTTAATCACTCCTATCTGCTCCTCCGTTGAGTGACTTTTATTTCTTGATCCATGCCGTGCCTACCTGGTGTCATGCGGTAATGCAGTCCACGTCAAGTGGATGCCTTGAGATCATGGTCTCGTCTGTAGTAGCAGTTGCCTGTTCTACTAATATGTATATTATCTATAACTATATACTGTCTTCGTGAGGTGCTTCTCTGGAGAACCAGCTATTAATCCCATTTACTACGGCAGTATATCTTTAATCTCTAATTCCCGAATCCACCATTCATTCCAAACTTATGTGTGCTTCTGAAAACACAGTATGGCTATAGTTCAGCCACTGCAACCATAGGTAAAACTTATATACTACTTGGCTTAAAAAGTTTTACCTTCAGTATGTTGTAGAGGTGCCTCGAAAGGGGATTACGTCATCTACTCTTATCTCGGAGTTAAGCTTCGGTCAACCCAAGGTTGCTAGCGGAAAGTGGGTCCACGGGTACGGGTGGATATCCTCCCGACTCCGTAGCGTACAATGTCGTGTATACCTACTAAGGTAGTTAATTGTAGTAATTATGGTATAAATCTGGCCTAAGTCCCGATCATAAAAAAGCGCACACTATTTCTTAAGGCTTCCTAGCTTCCATCATCTCAGCGCAACGTCTATACCATCAACATGAGTGGGTTATACGGCCTTCTCTTCACCAAGTTGACGTTACCGTCCCCATCTTTCATCCAGGGGAAGACCATTCTGATCACTGGTGCTAATACCGGGCTCGGTCGGGAAGCTGCCAGGCATGCACTTGCCTTGGGCGCTGACACAATCATTCTGGGCGTTCGCACTCTGAGCAAAGGCGAAGAGGCCAAAGCTAACATCGAAGCGAGCACCGGCTGTGCTGACAAGGATAAGGTTCTCGTATGGCCTATCAATCTCGAATCATTTGCCAGCGTCCAGGCATTTGCAGCCAGGGTTCGCAAACATGTGTCGGATGGAGGCCGACTGGACATGGCCATTATGAATGCAGGGATTGCATCGGTCGAATACGCTGCTACCAGAGATGGCTGGGAGAAGGGAATTCAGGTGAACGTGTTGTCGATTGCGCTTCTTAGCCTGCAACTTCTACCGCTATTGCTGCGGACAAAGGAGCGGGATCCCTCAGCGCAACCGCATCTAGCCATCCTCACGAGCGACATTCACAAGTCAATCAAATTTCCCGAACGATACGGGGACCAGATTCTTTCTGTCCTGAACGAGGAACAACAGTGGCAGATATCTCAAGCTGTGGGTGGACCCACCGAGCGCTACGGGGTCACCAAGCTGATGGATTTGTTTATCACTATGGAATTGGCTCGACTGGTACCACGTGACGCGCATGCAGAGCCGCTCGTGGTCGTGAATGCGGTAACACCCGGATTTTGCAAATCGGATCTCCTTACTAGGGAGAAGGCACCATGGATCCTGAAATTGGTCCAGGCTTTGATTGCCAGGACGGTGGAGGAAGGCAGCAAAACTTTGTTGCATGCAGTAACGCAGGGGTCGAAGTCTCATGGGAAGTGGTTGGAAAACCAGGCCATCGCAGAGTAAGTTATCCTTTTCATTAAGAGGTCCCCGTTACTGATGTACATATAAGCCCCGGTAAGATTGTGACGGACTTTGAAGCGGTGGATGTGAGGGAGAAGGTATGGGCGGAGATCACCACATTTTTGCGGACCATTGATCCGGAGATCCAAACTGAGTACTGAGTAATATAAAACCTATATCCATGGATAAGGACATAAAGTCTAATACCTCAAAGCTGACCCGTGGTAAATATCGTAACCAGCGTAGCCTAGAGGTATAATGTACAATCATGCGCCTGATACGAAATACATTTGTTTTCTGAACTATTTTTTGGCCAGTGATAGAAGGTAGATAGGCCGTATGTAATTGGTAGTGTGGAATACAGTATATACTTCATACATATCTGCAATTATATCTATACTTTCATAACCGTAAATTGTGGCTAGCTAGATGGTCATATCATCATGGAAGGCATGAGGCCTCCAACCGGATCCCAAATATTGAGGTGTCTCACTTTCCCACCGCTGCGCCATGGCTAACAACTTTCGATGAATTCCGAGAGTAACACTGGCCTTGATATTAGTATTCAGGAAATGAGCGCAGTAGCGTATGACCCCGACAGAATTGCCCAGGAGCACCATGGCACCATTCGAGCCCGAGAATGCAGGAATACCACCTTGATGGTTCAAATAGGCCATAATGGACGCATGGTCTGGCGGGAGCGCATCCAAGAATAGCGTCGTCTGTGTGTCTATATCTCCCTCGTGATGGACGTCGTCCACGCCGGTACAGACCATGCCATTTGCCCAGGCAATTAGGGCAATCCTGTATACTGAACCAGCCCACCAGGGTGGCCGAGTAGGTTCCGGTATGGATTGGACATGGCGCAGGACTTGGCCACAATGGAAGTATATCTCTCTTGTGTTCTCCAAATGATGGGGTTGTTTAAAGCCATGAAATCTGGGCGACTTGGAGCCCGTGTCATTTTCAGGGCTGCTGCGCGCTAGATGCTCTATTTGAGGAAAACTCACTACCGCGTTCAGCATGATAAGATGGTAGAGTATCATGTTGGAGGCAGTTGCTGGGCAAATCTTCTTGCTTGGCCTATGTGTTTTGGCGAGATCATACCACTTTCGTAGTAATTCTTGCACGCTTTGCATTTGCACTGGAATTAGCACAATGGACAAGTTTTGTGGGTTTCTGTAAGTTTGACCTGGTCCCTGGCTCTTGTCAATGTTGGCTCGTAGGTAGATGACTTGATTTTGAAGATCACAGAGTAGGAGTCGCAGTGTGATAGGTGAAATATGCGTGGCACTGCTGATATCGTTCGTGTCCGAGAACCACCTTATCCAATCATCGAGAGACGGAGGAATGATGATATGTCCTGAGGATGAAGGTATTCCCTCGATCCAGTGGTTGATGGATTGGGCGTTCCATGTGGCATCCAGGCTTGGTATGGGCGTATTGAGGCTGGTGCTAGAGAGGAACGATGTGGTCGGTATATCTTGGAACAGGCATATATCGTGGTCTAGAATCAGCCATGAATGTGTAGTTCTGCATGATCTCTAGTCAATTCACCTGTGCAGCCCATAATACATAGGAGAGTATCTACCGGTTTGCCCTCTCCTGTTCTTTCCATATTTCCCAAGAATGTGCGACATTATCGGAACCTTCTAGGCGAGCCACCTGGGCATCTCTGTGAACATGATGCTCTGCTTTCAGATGCATCTAAAGAGTTAGGAAACGTCAACTGGAATAGTGAGGGCGTTAATTACCTCCAAGAACATCGACTTCTGATAATGTGCAATCTACACAGAAAAGAAGTATATCAGCATCCATCTGAAGCCCTCTCATAGGGAGCAATCGAAAGTAAAACATACATCCATTTGCCACTTGTCTCCGCTCCATGCGGAAGCAATAATGTTTAGCAGTGCACACTGCGAGACTTCATGATTCGACGCTAGTTTGATATCCTGTTCAATGAGACGCCGCAGTGAAATGCGGCATATCTCGACCAGCCCATGCGCGATCTTCGGGGATATTTCGCTCTCACCAGCTGCCATGGCGCCTATAGAGAGCATTAAAAGTAGCAGTATGCTTGGTAAGATAGTGTTTCTTCCTTCCATGCGCTCGTTAATCTTCAATGTTGCTGTAGGAATAAAAGGGTAGTACGGTTCACAGTAGCGGAGGCAGGCGCAGAACAGAAATTCCCACACGGGTGGGGAAGGCAGTGTGAGAACGGATGCTCCATTATGGTCTAGTTTTCCGTTGTTCCGGCCTCGCAGCCCGTAGAGCTCTTGAGCTTCTTTGTAAAGCCCTTGCAGGCTAGCGCTAAGTTTCTCCCTGGTGCTAGTTAAGAGAGATTCAATGGCGACGTCTGAATCAATCGGCTGATGTTCATGAATTATCATATTTCCATCTCCAAGGAGAGCCGATAGGTTTTTGACGTGGTTCGCGACTGTGGGTACGCAGGCAGAAGATGGTGTAACAGGATTGCACTGAAAGAGCGGCCAGCCTTCTAGCGCTTGTAACTCAGCATCATTGGCAATTCCACCATCTAAAGAGGTGGATGAAGATGCTGTCGGAAGGTAGCCATCCATGGCATCGTTTTCATTAATGGGAAATTCTAGGTCCCAGGAATGAATCCCCACGAGATGGATTAACTGACTCGTCGGAGATAGTACTGTAGTCGGTGCAGCCAAGTCGAAATGTTCATTCGTGGGAGGAATTCCCGGTTGTATGAGATTAGAAGAAAGGGGAATACTGCGAGGAAAGCTCTCATCTGCGCTAGGTACAGCCGCGATGAATCGAGTCAAATAATGTTCTTCCCGAGCAACTTCCGACATAATTTTTTGACGATTTCCGCCCCAATTATGCGCCACTGAATGACTCCAGTCCATGTATATTCCACTGCTTGCTGGATGATATGGCGTTGCTGTTTTGGGATCTCCATTGTTGGCGCTAACGTTGTCTCCACCAGACTCAACGGGGTCATTTGCAGTATAATTGGCATTTGTGGATATTGGCTCTTTCGACCTATTGTTGAGAGCTGATCGCCCTGTTCTTCGCTGCGGGTCCCGAGTTTGGCAGGTGAGCTTCTTCCCCACGCATCGCGAGCATGGCACCTAGCATGCAATTCACGTTAGTCACCTCCCTTTCGTTTATTTTCGTTGGAATCCGTACCTTTCTGTCACACCTGGCTTTGGACCTCGCGCAGTGCACACATGCCAGGCATGACAGGATTGGATTCGCGCGATTCAAGAATTCGGGAGTTAAATGTGACATTATTCAAATGATCAACTCCTTCATGACAGCCACTACATCTATCTCATCGCAACTACCAGGCTGTTGAGCTTTATTAATTATGATGGATAGAATATAATCTGAGGCTAACTTCCCGTACCCTCGTCAGACAAGAACACGCCTACTAGCCCATTTGGGTGTTAGGCGATTTCTGCCGGCCCAAAACGAGCACGTGACCTGAGAGCATCTTAATAATCTGGCGGTATATATGGCGGTATGCTAGACTATGTCCCAACTGTGCCAAACACTCAACACCACCGAGGTGTCAGACCTGGCCAACGATAAATTTTGAAATTACCTAGTTTGTATGGCGCGCGTAACAGGTCCTCAACGACCATAAATGTACCACGGAGTCTTTGCCCAACCCTTGGGAATGTCTATTCGGTTTCTCCCGAAGTTTTGGTCTTCCCCATCACAATCCAACATTTCGCTTGGTACCTCTTGGACAACGCAGCTCCATCGCGGCCATGAGTACCTCGTCTCCTCCCACTCCGCCATCAAAGGCCTCAATGGATGACGAACGCAGATTCAAAACTATTACATTACCCTGTGAGTGGGTGGAGGATTACCGCCCAGGTGGTTATCATCCAGTCGTTCTCGGCGACGTACTCAACAGCCAGTACAAGGTCATCCGTAAGCTTGGTGAGGGCTCCTATTCAACAGTTTGGCTCGCCCGTGACCAGATGTAAATTCATCCTCCGAATTTTCTACCCGCGACGCTATGTGTGATCGTTACTCATTTCCTCTAAGAAATAGTAGATATGTCGCCCTAAAGATCCTTGTGTCGGAAATCTTGGCATCGACAACCGAGCTACGAATATTACGCCATATCTCCCAGATCGCACCAGTAGAAGGAACCCGGCATATCACGCAACTGCTAGGCGAGTTTGAACACCGCGGGCCTAATGGCGTCCACAAGTGCCTGGTATTTGAGCCTATGGGTCCGAGTGTGAACACTATGGTTGAGGAGCTGCCACAGTTTAGACCTCGTAGGCGGGGAATGAAGGTCCGCTATCCGCTTTGGATGGCAAAGAGCATCCTTAAGCAATCCTTGCAGGGTCTTGCATTTCTCCACGAAAATGGTATCGCCCATGGAGACTTCCATCCAGGAAACATACTCTTCACTCTTAATGATGTCGACTCGACGCCCGAGGACTTACTCCGACAAGAGAAAGATATACAAGCCCGGTCGATCTCTCCTCCTGTACAGAGGCTAGACGGTAAACAAGACGAATGGGCTCCTCTATATCTTTGTGTTGCGCAGCCACTGTTGCCATTTGCCTGCTCCGCCGAAGGGTTTAAGGTCATATTATCCGATATGGGCGGTGGTCAGTCCCTCCTCTTCGATCATTTATTCATTCTTCTTGAGGAATATCTATACTCACACTCTAACTAGCATATTTCTTTACCGATCCGCCAAAAAAGCCCGTTACCCCACTCGGTCTTCGAGCTCCCGAGTTGATTCTTACCGGAGCCGTTAATAATACCCTTGATGTCTGGAGTTTCGGTTGCGTTTTCTTTGAGCTTATCACCGGACAGCCACTTTTCTGTATACCATACTCCGAGATGGAAGACGACGATCATCTTCTCTCCCTCGCCGCCCAGCTCGGTGCCCTCCCCGATGAGTTATTCAAGCATTGGGGGACATCGTCGCTCTACTTTACGCCCGAGAGGAAGCTCTTTAATTCTCAGCTTGGGGGAGTCGCTCCAGGGGAGGAACCTCTTATAGTGGAGCAGACATCCATGGAAGAGTCATTCGATCGGGCAGGCCCAAATCTTGATGAGAAGGAAGCTCATAAAGTGAAGGCGCTCATTCGATGGATTTTGCAATATGATCCCGCGAAGAGACCTTCACCTGCAGAAATATTATCTGATCCGTGGTTCTGCGAGATTGACGTTGAGAGCGACTCGTCCAAGGTAAATATAGTCTAGTACCTTGCGTCGTCGTCGTTGTTCTCCGGATATTGGTACTCGGCGTATGGTCTCTGGCGTTGATTTGTGGGTGGGGCAATATCCAGGTCAATTGGAACCGACACCAGACAAAAACCCGCAATCTCCTTACAAACAAAAATCCATCACCTCGAGGCGTAATCAAGCCAGACAATTCACAAATGGCAGGCCGACTTTTTCCTAGATCTCTCTGAATGCCTGAAGTAACTTTTCTTCCTCTGACTTCTAGGCAACTAGCTGCAAAGAGACAGGTGCATCCTTCTGCTTTACCGGGTCATAATGCTCGTACGACCAGCTGTCGAATTCGTTCTTTGGGGTGTAAGTGGCGTCCTTGGCACCTCTCTCAGGATCCACCTTTGTAACGGGGAACACAAGGGCAGAATAATCGAGAAGATTGAATAAAGAAGTGTAACCCCAGTACCTCGAGGTGTTGTGAAGGGGGGCGGGCGTGGGGAATGCGGGAGCAACGACATCATCGGTCCACATCACACCGACGGTTAGCTTCTTGTTATCCCGGTGAATGTGTTCATCCTGGTCTCTCCAGGGGATTGGGAGCATCATCGAGTCCGTGATCCAAGGCTTTGATTCGATGATCATTTTCATGAAAAGCCCGATACCGCTAAATGTTGGTGAAATAGGCCTCAGTGTTCTTATAATGGTCTCACACTCTAGAACATAGGAAACGCATCCGATTAGTGGCAGTCGACCGGTGGATGGCTTTAGGCCGTAGAGGCCACAATTGGCGGCGGGGGAGCGAATACTACCGCCTGGATCTATTGTTAACAATGAAAAGAATCAATGCAGAGGATGCAACACACCTATATCAGAGCCAATTCCCAGAGGGCTGCCATAGAGGGCTTGCAGGGCTGCTGATTCTCCGCCAGAAGAACCACCTGGCGTGAGAGCGGTATTGTGTGGGTTGGTGGTGATTCCAGTGATATTGCTGCAAATTTCAAGAGTCATCTACCTCAAAACTAAGATATGCTCTGTCCCTGATTTTTGCGTTGGGTCTTTTGTATGAATATTCTTTTCTCTTCCTCAAAGGTACAGATAAGTGCCAGTATCTATGCCCTTGCTAACACACCGTTCCCTCTCAGTGATTGTGCTGCGGCTATAGCCCGCCTTCTACTCTCAATGCTTGTCCTAGGTGAGTACGACTCCACATGGCTCTATGCAAGGGATACATGTGGTCCATTATCGAGGTTTCAACCGGGATTGTCTGCACATGTCTGCCAACGATGCGAGTACTCTTCAAGACTGCCTTCGGTGGCGCTTTTACGAAAATATTCGACATGTCCAGCGGGAAGGCCAGCCATCAACCGTCAAGCAATACACCGTGGTCTAGAACAAAGGAGCGTTATAATGATATTGGGGATGTAAGGTCCGTGGAGGGGCTTTCCAACTCCGACCATACAAACAATGCTTCGGAATGGCATGGTGCAGGTTGGGACACCAGCTCGCAGCGGATTCTAGTCACCCAGGAGGTAAATATTGAACTTCAGCCAGTCAAACAGGAGACATCTGGGAAGGTAACTTAATCGCTCGCTTAGCCCAAAATTCTTGGTCAACATGGGTGGTGTCGAGTCAAAGTAGTCTGCGTACGAGTTCGAAATGCCCCTGTTTGGCCACATAAAAAGAGTTGAGGAGCCCGTTGCACGTTCACTTCTGTATGTTGCGAGAAATTATTCCACCATTCGTAGGTCGCCATTGAATGCGGCATGGCTAAGAAGCGTATATCCACCAGCATCAGAGATGGTTAGATCCAATCCTATATTGTCAAGGGGAGAGGTGCTTGGTGTATCTGTATCTCCATTGCGCACCGTATAGTGCAAAGCTGTTTTGCCCTTCTGACCCAGTGCATTAACACATGATCACCTGTGAGGGACTCTAAACTATGCCCGTGTGGTAAATACATGCAGTTGTACTGGTTTCTCTCAACGGTTCATCCTGCGTGCCAAAAGTGTCCCTGTGCACTTTCGCCCCTTGCTGACACCACATCGACACACGATTCAAAGAAGTTATCCATATTTCATTCTAAGCTCACATTCCACCGTTCATCAAGCATTCTAAGGGATTCTTCGAGTTGGTCTCGAGCAGAATCCCATCGATTACACTTCACCCCAGGGTCATCAACATATCGCAGCGCTTCCCTGAGAACGAAGGCACGGCTAGGCGGTAGCGCATCCATCTCTTCAAGGGACATATCATCTTGAGAAGTTGCGATATCCTGCATCATTTGTGTGATCGTCTCGAGTGCAATATAGGAGCTGTCGCGCCATTGGTCCGGAGATTTCTCTTGTGACGGGGTCATTTCCGCTGTGAGCTCGATGATGTGTCTATGTATGATATAAAGGGCCCTGTGGAGCTTCATAATTAGTGATTGGGTCGTAGAAATATGAACTGCGCGAGCTTACCTGATCATGATGGCGTTCGCCGTGCAGAATAGCCCCCATCGCCCTTGGGATTGTTCCATGGTAAGGGCTAGAGATGTTTGAAAAGCATGGTCAAGTCTATCGAGCAGGACTAATCTGCTATCAATGTCTTGCACTTCTAGGCTTTTAAAGACTTGATCCAGAAGCCACGCAGCCTGGGTCACACTTGCGTATCCATCACAGTCAACAAATGATGAGCTTAGGGAATTGCCCTCTGGGGTGAGAGCTTCTGGGGAACGAGCTGGGTTCCATTTTTGTGAGATAGTCTTGGGTAGTCGGGGGTCTTTATCTGGACACCTGGATATGAGAGGCTGGTGAACGGTGTCCACTTCGCAAAAAATAGTCCTTTTCTGATGTGAGACAGTATATCTTATCCAGGTGATGTGATTCGGTATCTTACCTTTCAGCAATGACAATTCCCCACCACGTGCTAAACTCTTCATCGGCTTGTGAATATTCCACGGGGCCCAGTCCTTCTACAAGGTTGACAAGGTGCAAGCGGGCAGCATAGCCCATCCTTGCACACACCCCAATAGAAGCGAAAGCATCATTGATTTTGTTAGTCGCATACTCATAGCTGGCGATGATGATGCCTGCTTGTATGAGATGCAATGAATTTGGGAATGAACTCTGGATTTGGGTGTAAAGAGATTTTGTAGTTAAATAGAGAGTGGCGTGGTCAATGGCGCATGGACTTTTTGCTAGCCCAGGATGATATGTAATGAGGCACATAGACAACAGCAATAATGAGAAGGTTGCAGAGGGCAATGTGCTCGAGTGGAGCACCTCTTGACGGAAACGACAGGGCGATATTACAGGGATGAAAGTATGAATTCCCCGAAAGTAGCGCATGCTGATATCGTCCACAGACTGATCAGCCAACCGAATGATTCGAATAATCTGCAGATACAACGTCGAGTTGAGGTTTGTTGGCTCATACTGCAGAACATCCGATAGAGTATTCGACAAAAGCATGGATGAACGGATGATCGGGTTAGGAACCGCCAAGAGGGGCCTGACTGTCAGGTACTTGGTATCCACAGATGGGTATTGACAGTTCAGGTTCTTCCTACGATGGTCGGAGTTAGGGAGTTGTTATCGCTGCAAGCCATAGAGAAGGATTACCGGGTGCAATATCCACAGCGCGGCCGCTCTTTATCACACTTTTTCTTGCGAAGCTTACACTTTACACAGACCAGGTTTGATACCCGAGTGGAGGCCATGGCAAAGTCGGAGAGATACGTCAAAAGAAGCTCGAAAGACCTTATCAGATTCAAACGATTCAATGCAGGGAAGAGGCAAGAGCTAGCACCGTCCCTACTATGTATGTAGAGAATAAAGAAGCACTCGTACAGCGGGCGTCCAATCATGATTACATAATCGGATTTGGATGAATCTAATCCCAAGGCGGCTAGCGGTGCGTTCAAGTGGGTCCAGTTGAGGCGGCCGCCTGTGGGTCTGATCTGACGGGATCGTCCTTTCCGACCCACACGGCGGCCGACATGCTCTCAGCAATACCAACAGTTTAAAGGTTAAAATGCGACCTTGGATATAAGAACATAAGATGAGAGACATTCCAGCAGGTACAATCAACTTTTTACCTTCTCTATATTCAGCTAATGATGTCGTCAAGCAACTCAAGCAACCCAAGTACCGAAACCGCCAAAGAGAGCGTTCCCATAACCACCGAGCCAGATCTTCCCCCAGAGGGAGGTGTTCGAGGATGGATTTGTGTGGTTGGGGCTTTTATTTGCCTATTCTGCACTTTTGGATTTCTCAACGCGTAAGGACTTCCAAAGTTATAATCAGAACCACGATTCCCAAATCTAACTATATAACACAAACAGGATCGGAGTCTTCCAAACACATTACGAACAGAACTCCCTCCGAGATTATAGTTCATCCGATATCTCATGGATATTTGCCGTTCAGCTATGCTTGATGTGGGCTCTGGGTCCACTATACGGACGTCTCCTCGATACCTTCGGGCCTGCCCCAGTGCTCTACCCGTGCAGTTTACTATGTGTGTTTGCTTTGTGTATGACTAGCCTGGCAGATGAATACTATCAAATCTTCCTTGCACAAGGCCTTGGATTTGGAATCGGTGCCGGAGGAGTCTTCACAGCTGCCATGGTCTGTGTTGGCCAATGGTTTGTGAGAAGACGAGGACTGGCTCTCGGTATTGCGGCATGTGGGTCGAGTACCGGTGGTGTGATTTTCCCCGTCTTCTTGAACAAAATGGTCGGCGATGTGGGCTTCTACGGCGCAATCCGGTATACAGCTTTGTTCATTGGTATCCTGTTGGCTGGGTCGTGTTTCATGGTCACATCAAGGTTGCCTCGGAAGGCATGGAATAAAGACGCGCCCTGGCTTGATTTGTCTCTGTTCAAAGAGAAGCAATTTGCTCTATATTGCCTAGGTGCATTTTTTGTGATGTTCGTTCGTTTCGCGTGCATTTATCGAGATTTATTGCTAACCGGTGACCAGGTGGGGACTTTGGGGTCCATTCGATTACCTCCCTAGCATGGCTCAAGAAGAAGCAAAGTTCTCTCCTGACCTAGCTTTGTATTTGATCTCGATAATCAAGTGAGTAACATGGTTCTTTCCAAAGTCCCGATGCTGACTAGTGGCGAAGTGCTACATCAATTCCCGGCCGCATTATCCCTCCGCATATTGCCGATCATGTCGGCCATTTCAATGTAATCACCACCTGCGCATTGTCGACAGCCATCTCAATACTCTGTCTATGGTTGCCCTTCCATTATCACCCCTCTCATGCGGGGCTTATCGTCTTTGCGTTGGTTTATGGGTTCGTTACGGGCGCCGTTGTCTCGCTACTGATGCCCTGCGTGGCAAAGTCTGGAAAGCTGGAAACATTGGGTGTCCGATTCGGAACTTTCCAAATGGTGGTTGCTCTCGGGTATGTTTCTGACTCGGTTTTTGTTTTCTATTAAGTTGCTTTCGCTTATTCGCTTTATAGATGTCTTACTGGCCTCCCTATTATGGGCGCCATCCTGAAACAACAGGGCGGGAAGAATTTCGCTGGCCTGGAGATCTTTGCTGCTGTGTCTGCATTAATTGGTGCATGCTTCCTCGCAATGTCGACATATCAAATGGCTCGCTCCCGAGGAACCTGGCGAGTCTGATGGTCAGGCGATTGGCGATTTTCTTCAACGAGAGTCGATGAATCAGCATATAAGTACTTGTCCAAGAAGGATGCACAATAGGTACACGTTAGAACGAACATAAGATAGAAAACGGATTATCACATGGCATGTCAAGTAAGTGGTAAATGTTACAGCTACTATAATAAGTGGGCATCTCCCCTCTAAGAATGATGAATATAAAAATTGCTCCTATCTTGATTAGAAAACAGCTCAATTTTCAACCCAGCGAGTTAGATTCGTAGGCATCATTGCCAACCTCCCCGCTACTTCAGACATTCCTGCACTCCGCCAAACCTGGTATACCGCGTAATCTTTACGTTAGTCTTTAGGCATACAAACATTGCGCTCCATCGCCTCGTCTGTTATTTCATTTCCGTCAGTTAGGAAGAAATTCTTTTTCTTTCTTGTATTAGAAAGAGAACACTACTTCAGCTGGCCTTGTCGTGTCTTTTTTTGGTCTTTGGGGTAAATGGGACATTCTAAAACCAAAAGATATACCCTGTATTTGTATAGTTCCTTTCCCGATCCGGCAAAGGCCATCAATCACCCAGATATCTAAGCCAGCACTTTATTAAAGGCTAAATTCGTACTTGAGAGAACCTTCACTTTCAAATTCTTTCTTGTTATTGGTGAGAAGTAATCTCCCCATTTCATATCATCGGATGTTGTTTCATATAGCTGCATGTCGAGACAGCGAAACATAGATGAAAAGGCCAAGTATAACTCGGAATAAGCGAGACTAGAGAACAATTGCTCTTGTAAGTTCGAATATACAACACAACAATCAAGGCAAAAATTGCGCATAAGCGTAGCATAACGTAACTTACTTGATCCCGATACAGCCCCGCGAGCCCCTAGAAAAGGATACTAAGTGGCGGTCCAAGTGCAAGTCATCACCAAGCCAGCGCTCAGGTCTAAAGGTCGCTGGATCTGGAAATATCGAGCTATCGGTGTTATAAACATAATGGCTAAGCGAAACGAGGGTCTGTAGTACAGTTAGTAGGTCAAGGTGGCATGCGAACTCGTGAGACCACGAAGCATACTCCAGGAGGTATATATTGTCCACACAGTGTGGCACCGGATGATGGTACAACACGCGGGAGTCGCCCAGGGGCACCATGAGAGAAGCGAAGCGACTCTTTCACAACAGCTCTCTACAAACGTTATGATTAGTCGTTTTCGAGCCCTATATATAATCCAAACGAAGGCTCAGTTACGCACCAAATAAGGTAGCTTCTCAAGTGTGTCTGCACTTGGCATTTGGCAGCCATCAGGTATTGCACTGGAAAGCTCCCGCTGGAGTCTGCTTTTAATTTGCGGGTTGCTTAGGATATGGAAAGTACCATGAATCAAAGTGTTTGCTGGCGAGCCCTCTCCGGCAACTAGGAAGGCTAGGGTCTCGGCCGTGAGATCATTAATAGATGGTGCTGGTAGTCCTGTTTTTGGATCTGGCTGTAAGACCAAGTCGAACAAGCTCGGATGCTGTTGCCTTGTCAATTTCGGCCGATTGATGGCATCTAGAAGTAAGTCTTGGGCTTGCTATGCACGGAAACATCAGCCATAAAAGAAAAGAGAAAGAAAGATGCAAGAAAATTATGAACTCACAGCGCGCAGGTGAAGCCCTGCAGCAAACATTTTATTCCACTTTGCAAGAATAGGGAATTGCAGGGCAAGACCGGCCATGAACCCGAAAACCCCATGGAATGTGCGGAGAACGACCATAGAGACAAGAAAATGATTCGTATAAACGACAGAAGGATAAGAAAAATCTGGGAAATCGAGAGCCCCAGATGCCCTCTGCCATCCATAGTTCATGATCACGTCCGTGGTAAGCGAGTGATAGCCTCTTGTAATATCAACTACTCTATTATTTTTGCCGTATTCTCTCAGAATATCTATGAATTTCATGATGGTGGTTTGGATCAACGGCTCGCCTCTTGTGACGGATGCTTTAGAGAGAAATGGCGCGAACATCTCACGTCGCGACTTGGAAGACTTGAGGTCTGACATGTTGAAATGAGATCCCTCCAAAAGGGGATGATCATAGAATTGACCCTGCTTGTCAAATTTTGTGCCGACGCTGAAAACCTCGTTGTAAGCATCCATGTCGTGGATATGCAGTTCGTCGGGATAAGTTCGAACAATTGGCCCTATGCACCAAGGGGATGTGAGATGTGAGATGTGAGCGGAAACGGCATTATGCAAGTCCCTACCATATTTTCGATGAAGTTCGGGAAGTGTTAGAGTGTATTGGCCCCCTTTAATTAACGTCCAATAAGCGCCGTAAAGGTGCGTGGCAGCAGCCAGCTTCGGTCCCGGAAACCGGGCAAGGGGATGGAGATACAGCCTATAAATCATACGAAGGCACTGAAGCCCCAGTAAGACGACTACCACCCACGGCCAGATCATTCTGGCAACGATAGGCTTGTTTGGAGATCAGGAAAATCACACAACGTGCTTTGTATGGAGTACTTATAACACACTGCTGGCCTGACTAGTTACCTATTTCCTTGCACATCCCTACATACCCTACCATGCTAGCTCAGGCGAGAAAGACCGCTAATGCAAACGCCTTTGCTTCTTTTTGGCAAGTAATACCAATACCATTAATTCAGAATACTCAACTCCTACGTGACTCATACCTTTTTCTGTATTCAACTGATTGTATGCACTTGAAATAATTTGAAATAATACTATTCCGTATATGTATTACTGATGGCGTGCATGCATTAGCGTCCCTTCCCGCCTGAGCTGAGATATGGAATTGACATTGGTAGGGTCACACCCCGCTTGGGTCTCGCCCTTGTGATATCTCTCATCTATTCACATTTCCTAAGGTGCCGAAATGTACGCGCATGTAGGTGACGCTTATGTGAGAGCAATAATACTGCGGCGATGATCCTATTAATCGGTGGACCCTATCGGAATGGATTGGAGCTTGTGGATGAACGTGGCAGTGGATTGCAGACTATGAATCGTATAATGCGAAACGACCTGGACATGGGTGTTCTTATAGCGACATCACAGGCGATGTCCTAACCAAGCTCCAGAACGGTGATGCTTTTTTCTTAAAAGAGCAAGCCAACAAAACGAAGTGGGGATTGGTTTATGCGTTAGTAGCATGCAAATGTGTGGACAACATAACAGTCGTTATGCACGAGGCCGCAACTGGACTCATTCTCAAAACTGATATATTTCCAGTTGAAAACCCAAGTTAATAATCCATAATTAATATAGCTTTGGATCCTTTCAAGGCTAACCCTGACTGATTTTATGTATACATCACTTCTTGCATACGCCAATTCTTACATACTAAGAATCCTGAACTACTATAGAAACCGGACTAGCGGCACTGATGCAGTTTGACGCCTCTATCACCCATTTCTATATATAACCTATAGAAATGTTGTATCCCAGAGTGAGATTCAAATCCAGGCTGCCTTTAGTCAATTAGATATAGGAGAATCTAGCGTTTAACGCTGTCGCCGCTTATTCAATATCTTTCTGATTCGCTTTTTTACGGATGTATAGTGAGGGGAGTAGATAAATCTATAGGGGTGGAAGAGAAGCCATAAATTCGGCATCAATTCTAGTTATGTTGCTACCTAGCATCGACAAGTTACGAATGAAAAGCTGATCATGGCCAGCTCCAAAAGCAGTCCTTTCGACATCAATTTTATAGGTCCTCACATTCTATGTGTAAATAAATCAATCAATCCGCTTACAGTTGATTATAGAACGGAAGACGCCAGAGCCATTAGTCAAGTAGACAGAGTGTAAAAAAGACAATAAGGCATTACCCTCATTCCCTCAAACTCGGACAAAGGCTAGAGAGTGGAGTACCACGTTAGCACTATATCCGAAACAATGTGTGTACCACAAGAGACAGAGCGAGACGAGAGACTTACTAGCATCAATCTGCTGGATATTCGGCAACGCCAAGCGCACCTTATTCCGATAAACAGCTGGCCCATTCAATTGCAACGGGTTACCCTCGAAGTAAACAGTCTGCAGCTTCTCCTTATCCTTGAGCTCACGCTCGACTTCCTCAAAGCTAGCAAGCTGATTATTCGACCCCCACAGTTCCTCGAGGTTCTTTAGTGACGAAAGATGTTCAAGATGGGAGACCTGATTGTTGGAGAAGTCGAGTACGCGCAGGGTCTCGTTGGATTCCAATCCTGAAAGGTCGGTTACTGCATTGTGAGAGAGGTAGAGCTCTTCAAGCTTTGGGAGCGCGGAGAGACCCGTGATTTTGGTGAGGCGGTTGGATTGGATGGAGATGATGCGGAGGTTTGATAGGCTGTCCAAGTTCTGCGAGGGTGTCAGCTTCTTTACTTGTTCGGGTATATTGGGTGACAACTGCGCACCTTCATTTCGACGATCTTGTTTTTCCCAAGCCAGAGTTCTTCCAATGCGGTCAGTGCGTCCAGGTTTTCGATTTCCTGAACGGACCCCGTGTCAGCTTTTCCGTTGTTCGCCTCGTATGCGGATATAATGTAGTACGAACCCGAATTTTATTCGCGCCCAACTCCAAGTTCTTGATTCCGGTCAATTCCTCCAAGCCCTCGATCCGAGAGATTTTGTTCTGTACAAAGAAAATCTCGGTCAACTTCTTCAGATGCGAGACATTCTTGATATGCTTGATCTTGTTGAAGCTCAGATCTAAGCTGGTCAAGTTATGGAAGTCCTCCAGGCCCTTGATGTGGGAGATGAGGTTATCGTAGAGATCGAGTTCGGTCAGACTGGCGGCGACATTTGGAGGGAAGTTGATGCGTGATATTTGATTCTGGCGCATGCATAGTCTCTGTATATCCCAGCGCGTTAGCCATCTGGGTGAACGAAAGGAATGCCGCGTCGTTGGGCTTTTGTGCTTTGAGAAAAAAGTGGTACCATATGCCCCTCTCCGTTGCCAGACACATGCGGATTCCAGGGTCGTTGAGGGTATGTACCTGAAGTTTAGGGAAGCGTTCCAATTTAAGAGCAGAAATCGACGATATCCGGCAGTGCACGAGGTCGATATCCTACCAGCAGAAGGATTAGCAATCACGTCGCGCGCGCGTCGATCAGCGGAGAATCCAGGGCTGCCTACCTCTGCATTAACATCTTCGTCTGCCAATAGATCTGAACAGCCATTAGTATATCAATTCGCCAAGGACCGCCCAGCCCTGAGCAATCAATCATCCAGCGACCGTACCTTCATCGGCCTCAATCTCCTCGACCGGAGGCGCATCCGGATCCGAGTAATCTGAATCCTCCAACGCCTCCGGGTTTGTAATAACTGCCTTTGGCTCCATCCTCATTTTGCCATCCCAGCCCTCCTTGTTCTTCATGATTTCAGCCAGCGTGAAAGTTGTGGGATGTTTGGAGGTGGGCGGTGGGAATCGCGATTGCGGGGAGCTTTTGGCGTTTTTATCGGGAGACGATCGCCAATCGGGGATTTTAGAAAAGCAAAAAGGGGAATCCAAGGAGATGGGTTCGAAAGAACAAAGAAGCAATAAAGAGGATATAAAGAGGTTGCACCGAGAGTTAGGAACTGAAACCTTGGTGTTCGGGAAGGCTGAGATCAACTGGTTGACTACATCATCGTCTTAATGCGGTCTCAATGCGGAATGACCCCGAGGCACTTCAACCTATTTACCTAGGGACTTACTTACTTGAAGTATAGATTGTAGATGGATAACAATTAATGGTGAAATTCATTTCTACTCTAATACAACTGGCTCCAGTTTGTTTTCTGGATACGTTGTCCCGGGGGCTATATACAGCATCGAGAGCCGTGATTGATCATGTACATTGCATGAAAGAACCTCCAACTTTGGCAGCATAAAGGAAATTATTAGACACTGCTCGCTATGAAGAAGATGCCATACCACTGCCAGGCAGAGGTCCAGCAAAGGAGAGAACACAATGAAATGCATGCTCGTGTATTGGTGAGCTGAGATCAAGGCAGTAAGGCCGTGTAGCAAGGCAGAAATGAGAAAAGAAATAACATAGGGGGGATACAGCGGGGCATGATAACCAAGAGACGCCTGCAGAATGCATAAAAAGCGGACTTGTTGGGTGTTTGGGATAGGGAGAGAATACACAAAAAAGGGAAGATCAGGACATGACGGGGTGTTGGTAAAGCACAGGGGAAGAAAAAGAAAAAAAAATAAGGAGGAATGGGCTCGCTCGGAGCGTAGTGAGATACAAAGTCAAATTGCAACGCAGAAGGTCGAAGATGGTCAGGTTAATGTGCTATCCAAGAACAACAACAAATGCAGGGGGACGGGGCCTTGGCCCAGTAGGATACCAGTTCCATCTGGGTCCATGTTCGGTCGTCGAGAAGGGGAATCGAATCTGTAGTAGGAAATAGGGCGACTGCCCATCAATGGCAGCAATGCTGGAGGAACGCAAAAGGGAAGGGCTTTTCTCGCGTAGAAAAGAAAACAATTCGCTCAAAATGGATATCTCAGGCGTAAGAAGGATCCCATCGAGGCATCTACAGGGCGCAGTCCAGGACCATGCTGACATCTTGGACTTGGGCCCCGGCGAGATCCTCGAGCACAGGGATGAGATCGAGCAACTCATTGTCATGAGCGTCAGAGAACCAGCTACTGATGGGAATCGCGTGCTCAGGGTGGAAGATGTAGGATGTGGGGGAATTATCAATGATGATTGTTTCCTTCAAGTCTCGACCGACTTGTGAAAGATCCTGGACAATGATTAGCTTTTTCTCGATGGCCAAAGAGGAACAAGGGTCCTCACCTTGACATAGTTCCCCTGGTGGTTATAACAACTCTCTCGGAATAGGCGGTGATGAACCACGTTGTGGATATCCAGTTGGTCGAGCAAAGGATCGCCATACTATAACTCGAGTCAGTATATGCCACGCGCCAAAATCATCAACTATCAACTGACCTTTGAGACTGAGGCAGTGAATACCACTACTTCGTAAAGCTCGCCAACACGTTTCATGAATGCATCCACACCAGGACGTTTGATCACATAGATGTTGTGATATTGACCTTCGATCTCAACTGGAATGGTGAAGTCGGCACGCTCCAAAACCTGTCAAATCAATAGTGAGTGAGATGATACAACAATACGCTTATACGCCTTGGGCG